TCTGTCTTTTATCTTTCTGTCTCTGTATTTCCTTCCTCATCCAACACATGAATATTTATAAAAGCCTGAATATATGAATGGTGAAAAGAATTGTGGGTCACAAAGTTGTATGTGAATAATTGGGTGTTTATAAGGACACTGTGCTAGTGTGCCCCAGACATCATTTACAAAAGATAGGTTAGTAATTATTTAAAAAGTAAGTTTTTGTCCTTTCTATTAGAGAAGAATATGGAATCAGATCACCAGGACTATACTGTGCTATTTTTGAATGACCTTCCTCATAGTCTGCAATCTTACTTGAAGACTAGATGCTGTGAAAAAGGAACTTACAAGCTTTATCATATTTCACTTTTGCATCAGTACTGTTTCATTTAATAAATATTGACTGAATTTATACTTTAGGTTTAGAGATATAGCAATGAACACCAGACAGCCATTTAAAAATTTAGCTTTCACTGCCCATAATTTGTTTGCTAATCTAAATGGACTCTATAGTGGATGATAGCCCATTTGGATAATTATAGTTTTCAATTTATAGGTTAAGATTCCAATGTGCTTGCCTTTTAAGGTAACTCATTTGGCAAAATGACTGGACAGAATCAGTCTATACTCGATAATCAACACTTAAAAATGGCCAAAGAAATCTATTTTTAAAGTCAAAATTGCAACTGCACTGTTTTGAATATTTAAATTAAGGCTAGGCAGAACATGTATAGTCAGTTCATTTTCCATTTTAGATAGGTCAAAACAATAAAAAAAATCAATATTAATGATATTTCAGACAAGCACTGTGGCACATGCATGCAATCCTAATACTTAGGTAGTGGAGATAGGTTAAGAAGTTCAACATCATCCTCAGCTACACAGAAAATTCAAGGCCAGCCTGAAATAAGGAGACATCCAGAGACCTTCTAGGTCTGTGTGATTCTGCTAGAATTACACACTTTTAATCACTCTGGCTAGAATACATTCATGCCTTTAGCATACAACATTAATCCTAAACAATGCAGGTAAACTTAATTTGTCAAAGGAAGCTGCCATGTTTGAAAGTGACATCTAATTGAGGGGTAGACAGAGTGATGAATCAGAGAAAGACTTGACAGAATGAGCCAGAGATAGGATAAGCTCAATTCTCTTGAGAACATATAGGAAAGAGAGGCTACTTAAGAGAGCTGCCCAGATTTGGAGGAGGGAGAGGCAATTTTACTGGGATAGTTTCACAGAGACAGGTTATAGAGAGAAAAAGCTGGACACAGGTGAAGACAGAACAAGCCAGAGATTAATGAGCCAGAAGATAAGAACATATTGCCAAAGTTAGTATGAGGTCAACAGAGACGTTGTTAGAAGCCTATAGAAGCTGGATGAATTAGCTTGAAAAGAAATTTTGAACCAGAATGTATGAGTTGAACCAGCCAGCCAGTATTCAGAGAAAACTAGAAAAGGCGAGCTTTTTCAGCAGTTAGCCTTCAACTGAATATACCTTAATGCACCTGGGGCTTACATATCATTCCAGATATACTATAAATTGTGAGAGAAGAGATATTAATTGGGGAAGCATTTGCTTTTCAAGGTAACATATAAATAATGCAAAATGTAAGTCATATATTTTATTATTTAAAAAAACAAGATACAAGCCAAGAATTTTTCCATCTTTACATTTAACTGCAATGATACTTTCAAGGATTATTTTGACTAGTGTCTGGCTTTCTACTTGACAAACTAATTGGAAAGGTCTACAAGAGTACCATCTACTATAGCTTCAGTATGCAGTTGTCCTGGGAAATGACTGAAATTAGGCAATACTCACCCGGAAGACTGTCATTTCTTCCAGAAGAACTTCTTCTAAGTCATGCCAAGTCTCCTTGGGGACTGAAACCACTTTAAGAACAGTTCCAACATCTTTCAAAGAAAGCAGAGAAGAAGGTTACAACTTAAGTAGATCGGAACAGAATTGACTCCTAATGTAAAAATAAGGATTTTTTTAAAATAAGCTTTTTGTTATTGTTTATTTTCTAAACTTGTGGAATGGGGTGGGTGTGTGCTTGCCACAGCACATATATGAAGCTCAAAGGAAAACATCAAGAAATTAGTCTGTGAATTCCACGTTGCTAGAGCTGGGTCTCTTTGTGATGCCTTGCTCCCTATCCCAGGTTAGCTGGTCTTCAAGCTTCTTGGTCTACACCTTCCATCTCCTCATAGAAATGCTGAGATTTTCTCATACTGTGTCTTCCAGAGGTCTCAACTCAAGTGCCCAACTCAAGCAAGGCAAGCATTCTCACACATTGAGCTATCTCCCCAGTCCCAATAAAACAATAGTTTACCAACCACACTTTTTATATTTCCTTTCCACATGGATACATGTGTAAATTATTACATTAAAAATTAATTTTATCCTGTTAGTATATAAACTATAATGATAGCCTTGGAAGCATAAAAAATCAAAATTTAAAACTATATCAAATTTAAAACTATTTTAACCTTAAATGTACAAATTTTCAAAGATATAATACACACAATAAAACTGCCTAAGTTAGATAATTTTTTATCTTTTTAAATTTTCTTTATGGGTTATACATTGTAGAGAAGAGTAAAAACTAAAAAAAAAAATAATTAACAATGTGACATGACAGACATTTCCAGCTTTATTTTGAAATGAGAATACATCCACAGAAGGTTCTGTAGACACGAAATGTTAAGGATAGATAACATTGTCCATCTCTAGGTACAACAAGAACCTCAGTGCCTATCAGGAATCTTAAGAAAATTTAAATTCAGGAATGCAAATTATTAAAAAAGCATTGAATAAATGTTATAGAGATTTAAGCTACTATCTAAATTCCATAGTCAAGAGAAAAAAAACACCTAATGAAGAGATCTATTCTTTTTATTTAAAGTTTTATTTATGTAATGTTCATTTTCCTGTGTTTCAGGTGTGATTCCACTGTTTGGAAGAAGGCAAACAGGATCTTCTTGTGTTAAGACGTTGAGTCTAAGCAATTTTAGATTTTCCTTAACTTGATCAATTCTTTGCACCTTCAGTTGTTTCATTTTAACAAACTTTAATTTTTCCCAAAGAAATTCTTACTGCTATGCCAGAAATATAAGCTAATATATTCATTCTATTGGCAACTCTCCTCAGTGGATTGTCACAACATACTCTGTGTGATCAAAGTTATCCCTTTTAGAGTTTAAAAATAGTCCACTTTTAAGAGGATCCTTCATTGTTTACAGGACCTTAGTCAACTCATAACACCAAAGATTAAAGGGAAATTAGGTTAATCTACTTAGTCCTTCCACAGGGTCTGCTGGACCCAAACACAACTTATCTGTGTTCCAGATCAAGTTTTACTGAATAGTATTTCAAACAATTTCACACAAATTGAATCAGATTACTCAACAAGGATCAATGTGCTATGAAGTGAAACTTAGTTAAAAGATAAAATTACTGTAATCAATTTTCTCGCTGACAGATGACCCTGGTCTTTACTGACATCCAATCATCTCCATCATACAACATTCAACATCCTCATGAAAATGGAGTCTTTAAAGGCAGTTTGTGTCCTAGAGGAATTAAAAGCTCATGATTGGTTTTCTTTGTTCAAATACCCGGAAATAACCTTGTTGTTTTGAGGGTGAATAAGGGACTTCTGAACCAGTTTAAGCTGGAGATAGAGAACAAGGCTAGTGTGACATT